GAGGTTTGCCTCTGAGGTGCACTCCCACCCCTTCTCTCCCTGCAGGTGACAGTCGCCCAAAACCTCCGGTCAGGCCTAAACCCCGTGTGCTGCCCAAGCCAGCTGTGCCAGCGAAGCCCTGTACTCTGTTGCCGTCACTTGGGGTGCGAAACACCCGTACCGAGCTGCCTTCTGCTGAGAAGATCAACCGCTTGGCGGGTCCTAAGCCATACGGTGCTGGGTTCAGCAGTGTTGTTAAGCGCCCCACTTTCAGCCTCAAGAGCTCCATGGGAGAGGCCACCAATGGGAAAAGGGGTTCTTCTCCCCCACCTGGTACCAGGGTTCTGGCTTCAGCACTGCTCACAGCTGAAGATCTGCCTTGCGTACCAGGGGAGGAAGGAGGGTCTCCTTCCCCTGTGATGCTGCAGGCTGTGGGACTCCCGGGGACTCGCAAAGTGACTTCTCCCTTCAAGGTGAAACCAGTGCCAGTGGCAACCAAGCCAGAGCGCTTCCCTGGCACCACAGTGGAGGAGATCCTAGCCAAGATGGACCAGCCTCGCAAGGAGGCGCCACTCAGCCCTGACAGGGCTTGGGCCCTGCGTTCTTTCAGCTCTGACAGTGGCTCCTACTTTACACCCAAGGGCTTCACTGCCTTTTGGAGACGTGCCAGCAGTGAGGAGGTGGGTGAGAGTGACACCACCTTCATCTTTGAAGCTTCTAGGGACTCCCTGCCTCCTGAAGCTCTGGAGAGCAAAGAGCCCCCCAGGAATGAGTTGGGCATGAGCAGGAGGAAGAGGGAAGGGAGCCCAAGTTCTAATGGACAGCACTTGCTTGAGCCCCCAGATGGAGCACCAGAGAGTGACTCTGGCACCGTGGCTACGACAAGGTGAGGGGGAAGGTGGCCCTGGGGGTAGGGGGCAGAGGACTGTTGGTAGCTTTCCAGGGTTACATTGCCTGTTCTTGCATGGGTTGACATGAAAGTAACTTTGCAGTGAATTGTGGGTAGGTGGAAACAGGTAGAAACTTGGTGGTGGGGCTGAGGCAGGTCTCCTCTGAGGGGAGTCAGACAGAACTCAAGCAAGGGGATTATAGTCTCCTGTTTATACCTTGAGTAAAACAGCACTCGTTGACTGGCACCTGCAGCTGCACAGGAGGGGCAGAAGCCCTGCAGTAGCCAGCATGGGCTCATCTGTGCCCCACATGTTAGCCCTCTCCTGATTCCTCTGAGATTGGCTTACGCTGTCAAGCAGGGTGTTGAATATGCTAGCCAGGATGCATGTAGCATTCCCCATGACAGCTTTATTTCTGCTGCCCACAGAAAAAGTTCCCTTTTGTACAGGAACCAGCTGTCCTGGCACAAGCAAATTTAGAAGTGCTCTGATGCTCGGGTCAGACGCTCAGGCACTCTAGCTAGAATGGTGGGGGAAAAAATCCAACCCCAGATCTACTGAGGAAACCACACCCCAAGTAAGTTGGCTTTAAACTCAGCTGGGAACATCCACAAGGGTCTTTTGTACCAAATCTCACATTGGGCGGCTCTGTTAGAGCAGAGTCATGTTGTGTGGTTGGCCCAGGGAGTGCTTTGCCTTAAAGTATCTCTGAGGCCAGATGTTCAGCTCCTGTTACCAAGGAGTCACCTGCTCGGTGACTTAATCAGTGGGCAAGACTTTGCTTCATCTTGAGTTGCCAGGAAGGTTGCTTAGCTCAACCCAAGTGAGCCACTTTGGCTTTATCCACCTTCGCTGGCCTGTCACTCCCAAGCCACCAGTGCTGCATCTTGTTTCTGCTAGCCTGTTGCAGCTCCAGTGAGACGGGCAACAGTTGATGGAGGGGCTGCAGCATCTAGCAGAAGGTGTGGGAGCATATACCCATACTTGTTGTCAGCAGAAGCCTGTCTTACTAAGCAGAGGTGGCATAATTCTATCAGGAGGGGGGTCCTGTTACTATGGAAGGACGGCGTGTGTGGAGGTTCTGCTATTACATTTTTGCAGTGGGACCAGGGCTTCCTAAGTGGAGCACTGCACCCCTAGTAGGCACAACATAACTCAGCAGGCAGGTTCTCCTGCTGGACTAGTAGAGCCACCACCTGGAATGACCAGCTGTCTTAACAGAAAGACTTTTCCCCCTGGTTTATGTTGTGTCCACATAGTGGAGGAAGATTTCTGGCAGAGTACTGTCAGTTGGGGAAGGATGGCTTTTTCATGTTCCTAATTGGCAGTGCTACATTAGCAAAACTTTGTCACTTAAATCTGCTCTGTATGTCCATGCTGGGTTCTGTCCCTGAAAGCCTGGGTCCTGTGCTGTGCAGGTGTGGGTTTTTATAGAATCATAGAAAATTTGGGTTGGAAGGGACCTCAGGGGGGCAGTCTAGTCCGACCCTCTGCTCAAAGCAGGGCCATCCCCAACTATATCATCCCAGCCAAAGCTTTGTTTACCTAGGTCTTAAAAACCTCCAAGGATGGAGATTCCACAACTTTTCTGGGTAATGCGTTCCAGTAGCTTATTACCCTCCTCATGCTGAAGTTTTTCCTAATATCTAATCTAAACTTCCCTTGCTGCAACTTGATGCCTAGCTCCTTGTTCTGTCATCTGCCACTACTGAGAACAGTCTAGCTCCATCCTTTTTGGAACCACCCTTCAGGTGGTTGAAGGCTGTTATTAAATCCCCCCTCAGTCATCTTCTCTCTAGACTAAATAAGCCCAGTTCCCTCAGCCTTTCCTCAGAAGTCATGTGCCCCAGCCGACTAGCTGTTTTTGTTGCCCTCTGCTCTACTCTCTCCAATTTGTCTACATCCTATCTGTAGTGGGAGCCCAAAATTGGACACAGTACTCGTGCTGTGGCCTCACCAGTGCAGAATAGAGGGGAATAATCTCATCCCTCAATCTGCTGGCAACGCTCCTACTAATTCCACCCAGTATGCCGTTAGTCTTCTTCGCAACAAGGGCACACTGTTGGCTCATATTCTGCTTATTCCCCACTGTAACCCTCATGTCCTTTTCTGCAGAGCTGCTGCTTAACCAGTTAGTCCCCAGCCTTGTCCTACCTCTTTGGAGAGGCAGGGGCTTGGGGGATGCAGTGAGAGAAGGTGGGACTGGGTTTGGGCATGGGAAAAGGTTTGGGACAGGGAAGGTCCTATACTGGAGTGAGAAGACATGTGGAAAGTCAGCTATAGGCAGCAGCTGAATTTGGTACAGGAGAGGTTTGGCCTGGAAGGTAGGTGTGAAGGTCCATGGAATGGAGAAAAAGGTAGGCAAGAGGTAGATCCTGGTGAGACTGGAGAGGGAAAGAGAGGATGGGTGGGGGAAAGCTGGGATGAGAGGCTGGGCAGGGAGCTGGTATGGAGTGGGGTTGTAGCTCCACACAGTGTAGCTCACACCCAAAGGAAATGTGTAGCAGGGCCTAGAAGAAACTCTTGACCTCTTAGCTTGGAAAGAGATCCCCAGAGAGCCATGCCTCCTTCTCTCCCCAGCCAGTGCAGGGCTCTCAGGGGCCTGAGCAGGAGGGGTCCTGGCTGCCTGCTTCAGATAGTAACCCCCACGCTTCACTTTTCTTTCCTCAGAGCCTCCCCAGCCAGCACCAGCTGTGACGGAGATCCATCGGGACACAGAAGGCTGCTGTCCACCCCTGGTGTGAGTTCTCAACTTGGCCCCCACAGCGCGGCATCTGCTCTACTGGGCTCTCTCCTTCAGTGCTCTCCTGTCTCCTCCTGGGCTCCCTCCCTCTGGGGTGCGTTTCTCTTTTCTTCTTTCTCTGCCAGGCAGTAGGGAACTGGCTCCTGCATCTCTTCCTTTTGCCCCCACTCTAGGACTGGTGGGATATTGGGAGCTCAGATGTCCTGCACAGGGCTGTGAGGATCTCAGTCCCACTCAGGCTTCATTGCTGTAGTGATGGGAAGGAAGCAGAAGAGCAGGCCAGTGCACAAGCCAGGGTCTCTTGGAAGAAGTGTGTAGGCTGGGCCCAGTGCCCTTGGCTCTCTCAGCCCTGTCCAATGCTGGGATCTCAGCATTATCATCTCAGCCTGGCTCTGAACAGTGAGCAGCAGTGACTCACTGCATTGTGCTCAGTGACCCAACAGGTATGCAGTGTGAGGGTGCGTCTCTCTGGGCCCACTGCCAAACCCCCTTGGCACTGAGGGTGGGGCAGGACAGGATGGGAAAGCCCCTCTTCTCACCCTCCTCTCTGCCAAGGAGATAAGAACCAGCAAGAAATTAACTATTAACTCCCTTCCCCTTACACTTGGTGATGGGCAGGGGTCCTGGTTTTCCTTGATAAAAAATCGCAAATTCTCTGATAAACCCCCCAAAATCTGTGATTAAAATGAAAGGCCTCTCCCTGCCCCCCGCCCTGCTGGAGTGGGCCTCCAGCTGTCAGAGCTATGGGGTCCATGGACCTGGGTCCTCAGCCCTATACTCCCAGCAGAAGGTGGCAGCTGCTGCAGTGGAGCAGAGCCTGGCTTTCCCGCACTGCTGCCTGCCTGCTGCAGGCTTGGGTGGGTAGGGCCAGCTCCCCGCCACTGTGCATACTGTTGGGAGAGCAGTGGGGATCAGTGCCCCCAAGATCTGTGTGTGGGGGTGAGCACAGGCTTGGGCTCCTGTCCTCCCCTGGGGCCTCAGCAGCCTGGCAGGTACAACCCAGCACTGCAGGGCAAAGTAGGGCCACGGAGGGAAGCTGCTTGCTGCTGTGAGCTCCGTGTTGCCCTGGCAAAGCGTTCCCTGAATGTGTGGCAGCAGCGGGGGCGGCGGTGCAGGGTTGTGCCCCTCGCTGCTGCCGCGTATGCAGCGGATGCGTCTCCAGGGCAATGCAGAACTTGCAGTGGCAAGCACCTTCCGTGCTCAGTCCTGCTGTGCCTTTCAGTGCCAGGCTGCACCCACTGGGTTGAAGAGGCCCTGGGAGAGGGCAGCAGGTTGGGAGCCCGAGCCTGCAGTGGGCAGCCCATGCCCATCTCCCCCCACCCTTGCACACAGATCTGGGGGGCACAGGTCTTCCCTGCCGCCACAGGAGTGTGTGCAGTGGAAGGAGCGAGCCTCACACCCAGCCCCCTGGACGAGTCGCTCGCAGCCCCAGGCCCCAAGCCCCACGCATTACCCAGCTGGGCAGCAGTCTCAGCCCTGTCTACCTCCGTCCCTCACCACCCTTACCTGCAAGGAGCTGCTCTCCAGGCTGCCTGGGGCCATGTGCATATACATGCACATGTCCGCTCCCCCCAGCCCCTTGCAGGCTGGAACTCTGCCAGCCTGCAGAGAGCTCTTTGCTAAATCCACAGGTTTCTCTGTTAAAATGAGAAATCTGCATTTTCCTCCAGTACGAGGGAAAACCCGCGTTTTGCTCTGTTTTCCTATGGGAAACTGAAAACCCAGATCCCTGGTGATATGCAACTGATTCTCCAGCCCCCCTTGGAGTTGCCATTTTGGCCTGTCTGACGGAATGGGGGAGCAGGAGCCCTGTAGGCTGGTGTGTCCACTCTGCTGCCACAAGAATAGCTTTCTCTTGCTTACTTTCTCTTCTTCCTCTTCCTCCTGTTTCTGCCTGTTGTTTCCTCCCTGCTAGATCAGAGGATGTTGGGGGTCCTTCTGGAAAGGGAATTAAGGTGCAGGCAGTGGCTAGGCCTGGGTGGGAACCTGCAAACAAGGCTGAGTGAGGGGTGTGGGCAATGAGGCATGATCATGGCTGCAGGGATCCTGGAGAAGCAGGGAGAGAGAGGAGCAGAGATGGGGAGCGGCAGCCCCAAGGTAAGTTAGTAACTGTTAGGGCTGAGTCACATAGGGAATTTCCTTGTGGCCCTTTCATTTCACATTGAGACGCTCCCTGCAGGGAAAGGGTGGGGGCAGCAAGGGCATCTCTTGCCCCTGCTGTTGGATTCTAACAGACTAATCAAGGTCCTGCACAGGTGGGGTGAGGGGCAAAGCTTGACAGGAGTGGGTAATAGGGGTTAGCTGGAGCTGTACCAGAAGATAGGGGAAATGGGTTTGTAAGGTGGGGCTTGGGGTGCAGAAGGTGTGGTGGGTATTAGAGCTGTCTTTGGAGGTTGGAGATCGCTCATATGGGGGTGCTGAGGCCTGGCCTGGTACAGGTTATTGTTTACTATACCCAATTTTTTGCTTTTCCCACAGGTCTCCCTTCTGCAGATCTGCTCAGTCCCTGCTGCTGCTGTTGAGCTTCGTGACCAAACAGCCCCTGGCTCTCCTAGTGTTTCTACCAACCTCTCTCAGGCCCCAGGGCCCCCCTATATCTCTCATGAACTCCTGGCCCAAGCACTGGGCTTCCCTGATGTCCCTGCTGAATTCCCAGCCCCAGGTGTGCCTGGCATCCCTGCCAGTGTCACTCCTGGGTCCCTTGGCACCCCTTCTGAGCTTCAGGTGAAGGTCTCTGTTAGTCTTGCCCAGACCCCAGGTGCCCCTGATGCTGCAGCTGAGACCTGTCCTGGGGTATCCCATTTACTAGGGTCACCTGAGGGTCCTGGTGAGACATCTCCAGGCAGCAACAGTCCCCCAGCACCAGGAACCCCTGACACCTCCTTTGAACTCCTTCCCAAGGTCACCTCCTCTCCAGGGTCCCCTGAAGCTCCTTCCCAATCTCTAACCACCTCCAGTCTAGCTCAGGAGCTCCCCAGAGTCTCCCAGTCCCCAGGATCCCCAGAGGCACCCACTCAGTCCCCAGGATCCCCTAATAGCTTGCCATGTCCTGAACGCAGCTCCCCTTCACTCTCTGGGGACACCAGGCCATTCACAGGCCCTGTGGAGTTGTCCCTGCCTGATGATGAGAGGAAGGTCCAGCCCCTGCAGCTGGGGCTCCGGCGCTCCTCGGAAGGGATAGTGCAGCCGTCTGCCAAGGGGCTGGGCATGGAAGAGCTGGGAGGCTCATTGGCTGCCTTGTCCCAGGGAAAGGGCCCTCCGTTAGAGAAGTCCTTGGGAGGCGAGTCAAACTGGAGCCTGTCACAGTCGTTTGAGTGGGCTTTCCCCTCCCGGGCTCCTGAGTGGGGGGTGAGGAAAATGGAGTCATCTCCCAGGTCCCCCATCAAAGAGGCCAGTGACTCCAGCATCTCTAAGGGAGGGGAGTTGGATGGGGAAGGTTTGGTCCATCCTGGTACAGCCCTGAGCCCTGAAGGGTTTGGCATGGGAGCAGAAGAATTGAAGCAAGGAGACCCGAGCACTGAACTGGGGAGTGGGAGAGGAGATCAGCCTGATGCTGGTAGATGTTCTGGGAGCACAGAGGCCCCTAGTGAGGTGGGAGAGATCAAGACAGAGGAGTCTGGGAGCAGGGAAATGATATCTGGGAAAGCAGGGGAGGCAGAGGCCCCGAGTCCTGGAGGCCCCACAGCACAAAAGGAGCTAGCTGTGGCTGAGATGAAGGGCCCTGGGGCAGAGGGGGGCACTCTTCAGGAGGAGCAGGGCACACTGCCGGTCCATTCTGCTCTTCATCTGACGGAGCCACTCCAAGCTCTAGAGCAGGCTGAGCCCTCTACACAGCCCTGTGTCCTCTTCTCTGATACTGCTCACCTGGACAAGGCTGCCTTCTCCTGGGAGGATGACTCAACACTGGGCCTAGCCCAAACAGGGCCTGCCCTTGAGAGCATGGAGGGTGCAAGACTGGAGCCAGGAGAGGGAGATGCCGACCCGCTGGGGGGTTCTGAGTCCCACTCTGATCCTTGCTGGCTGGAGGAGCTGCTGGCATCACCCCCGCCCAGTGCTGATGACACTAAGAGGAAGGTGGTTCCCACACCTGGAGACTCTGAAGGGTCTGAGGTAAAGCAGTGGCAGTGGCTGCCTGTTGAGTGAGGGGCAGGAGCAGGGGAGTTGAGCAGGGCATTCCCTTGGGTGTGTGGGGAGTGAGTATGTCTCTGGTGTTTGGTGAGAGGGTGCTCCTCCATGTAGGAGAAGCTTCTGTAGAGTCAGAAGGGTGCTTCCTCCCCAGCATTTCAAAGGTTGGAGGGGGTGGGGGGGGGGGAAGTTGCCCTGGACCCAGTCGGAGGTA